TCCCCAGAGATTACCCTTTAATTATTATTTAAATTTATATATATAAAATGTCTTTTGAGAAAAGGTCTCCCTGTAGCACCAGCTGGCCTAGAACTCACCATGTAGACCAGACTGAGCTTGATCACACAGAGATCTGCCTGCCTCTGCCTCCCCGTGCTGGATTAGAGGTGTGCGCCACGTTGCTCAGCAAAGTGTGGGGTTTTTTTTGCTTGTTCTTGTTTTGTTGGTGGTGTTAAGCGTAAAATCTGGGCCTTGTGCATGACAGACAAGTGCTTTGCCTCTGAGAACACCCCAGGCCAAATATATGTATGTAAAATTTATTATATATTATTATAGGTAGGACTCTCCACCTGTTGGGGATGGGAATGTTGGTTGGATCAGATGACCGTAGCCCTTCAGATAACTCAATTCAGTTTTGAGACAATGTCAGTCAATGAGTTGACAATAAGGATCCCAGGCCAAAGCAATGATAACGTGAACATTGAGTAGTAAGTTATAATTAAAGGTACATTTGGAAAACCATCCCCAGAAATAAAGAACACAGGACTTTGCTGGGGTCTTCAATGTTATTCTAAGACCCAAGACTAACATGGGAGCATTAAACAAAAACTGATCATCATTTTCAGCCACAGAAAGCCAGTCAGTGACACGATACTTAGATGGGGACTGAGCATGACATGGGGATTAAGGAGGAGAGGAGATGGCTACACTGAGCACAGGTGTCAAGTCTGAGGAAGGTACAGCAGAGACCCAGGTAGAAGGCCTGGCCAGGAGCAGGAGTACAAGCTGAAAATGGGTCATAAACCTCAGTTTGAAGATGACCAAAGAAAAGTCAAACCCAGCTGGGAGAACCTAAGGGACTCTTACAAGAGTCAAATACTGTTGGATTAAAAAAAGTTATATGATAGCAGGTTTAGAGAAGGAATAGTTAACAATTCACACTTGATTCCTAATTTGCTTTAAAAGTCTCATATTTGTAAGAAAATGCTGGTTTCTTTGATAAAGCTGAGTCCTAAGGCTAACCAGATTAAAGAACTGTGTTTTACCCCATGAATTTCAGGTGAATGGGCTATGCTTCCACTTCAGTTATTTCTTATCACAAAGATAGTCATGGGCTGGAAAGATGGCTCAGCAGTTAGGAGCACCTGAGTTCGGTCCCCAGGATGCACATGGTAGCTTACAACAGGCAGCAGGCACACACATGGTGCACATACATACATGCAGGCAAAATATTTATACACATAAAAAGTAAAAATAAATAAATACATCTTTAAAAAGAAAGACAGCCAGGCTGGAGAGATGGCTCAGCAGTTAGGAGCACTGGGTGCTCTTACAGAAGACCCAGGTTCAAATCCCAGCACTTGCATGGTGGCTAACAACCATCTACAACTCCAGTTCCAGGGGATCTGAAGCCCTCTTCTGACCTTCATGGGCATTGCATGACATGGGTGCACTTACATACTTACATACCTGCAGGTAAAACACACATACACATAAAATAAAAATAAATAAATAAAAAACTTTATAAAAAGATACTCGTGTTCTGGAGGATTTGAAATTGAGGCTAGTTCTAAAATAATGGATTAATGTGATTTTCTTTCTTTTACTTTTTTTTTACGGTTCTTTTTGAGACAGGGTCTCCCTGTAGCTCCAGTTGTCCTGGAACTTACTATGTAAACCAGGGTGGACTTGAACTCACAGAGATCCACCTGCCTCTGCCACCTGAGTGCTGGGATTAAAGGCATGTGCCACCATGTCCAGCCAGTGATTTTCTTTTTTAAAAAAATATTTTATTTGGGGCTGGAGAGATGGCTCAGGGGTTAAGGACACTGACTGTTCCTGCAGAGGACCCGGGTTCTATTCCCAGCACCCACATGGCGGCTATGAACCATCCTTAACTCCAGTTTCAGGGAATCCAAAGCTCTCTTTTGACCTCTGCGACATTGCATGACACAGGTGCACTCACATACATGCAGGCAATATACTCATATACAAAAAAATAATAAAATATTTTTAAAAGTTATTTTTATGTATATGAGTATATTGCCTGAATATATGTAAGTACAAGTATGTACTGCAAATCCCTCACAGGTCAGAATGGGGCATTGGATCCCCTGGAATTGAAGTTACACTTGGCCGTTTGCCACCATGTAGGTGCCAGGAATCAAACCCAGGTCCTCTGAAAGAGCAATCAGCACTCTCAACTGCTGAGCCATCTCTCTAGCCCCCTAGTGTGATTTTTAATAAAAATCTTTGCACATCTCTCTGAGTAGCTGTCCATCCATCCATCCATCCATCCATCCATCCATCCATCTATCCATCCTTGGCAGAAATTGTATTAGTTCCTAGGAGTATGGAACAAACAAAATGGACATAAGCCGTATTCTCACAGCATGTAGTATTTAGGACAAGGGACATCAATGAATAGAGACTCTGTTACATAACTGTTTGATCTCAACTGTGATAGAGTGTAACTAAACATAAATATAAGCTGTTAAGAGATCATAATAATTTTGGTGGTTCCCATGCCTTTAGATATCTATCCATTTCTTTAAGGTCTTCAAATTCAGTAGCATATAGGTTTTTAAAGTATTCCCTTATAATGTTCTGTATCTTTCTGGTGACTGTTGTGATGTTTCCCCTTTCATCTCTGATTTAGTTGATTTGGAGATGCTCTTTCTTTCTTTTGGTTAACTGATCTAGGCATCTGTCAATCTTATTTATATTTTCAAAGAACCAGCTCTTGGATTTATTGATTCTTAGTATTGTTTTCTTTGTCTGAATTCACTAATTTCTGCCCTGATTTTTGTTATCCCTTCTTGTCTGCTGGGTTTGGGTTTCATTTGTTGTTACTTTTCAAGTGTCTTGAGTTGCAATGTTAAGTCATTTATTTGTATTCTTTTTGATTCTTTAATGTAGGCAGAGCTATAAACTTCCCTCTAAGGACCACTTTCAGCGTGTCCCAGAGGTTTATGTTGCGTTGTATTGTCCTTTTCATTTAATTCCAGTAATACTTTTATTTCTTTCTTAATTTCTCTTTTGACTGATTCATCATTCAGGGGTGTGTCATTTAATCTCCACGTGTTCATGTGGTGATTAGGGCTTCTTCTGGTGTTGAAGCTTTATTGCACTGTGGTCTGATAGAATGCATGGAATTGTTTCAATCTTTTTGTATTTGTTGAGGTTTGTTTTGTGCTCCAGTATATGGTCGATTTTGGAGAAGGTTCCATGGGGTGCTGAGTAGAAAGTATGTCCTTTGGTGCTTGGGTGGAATAC